GAGAAACCCTCTTGTAAGAGTGATGAGGCAGCAATTCTCATCTACTGTAGATCTATTTAGAATGATAGAAACTTTAACCTGATCTGCCTGTTCTTTGTTTTGAACTGTATTTGGTACCTTCAGATGAGGTTGGAACATAGGTAATAACCCTTGGGTTGTTTATTAGGTTTAGCCCAGTGAATAAATAGAAAGGCCCCAAGGAATGGGTCTCCTGTTTTGTTTTGTTTTTTTTTTTTCCTGCAATTAGACTGCACTGGCATTTTGTTAGAATACTGTTATTGCTCCTATGAATATTTTCTATTTTATGATTTTAATACCCTTCTACCTCCCCCCACCCCCAATTAAACCTTACTGATGCAGCTCTCTTAGAAAAGAAGCCATAGTGATGAGAATTTGTCTACTTGGATTAGACATGATCCCTAAAGCCCTCTCCCCTTGCTTGTGAGATATCTTGATTCTGCTATTTTGATGGGAAATGACCTTCTGCTGACTTTGAAGTGCCATCTTAAGCCCTAGTGTTAAATCATCTCCCTTTTAGCTATGGCTTCATTGCTTTATCTGCAGCTATTTCAGACCAGGTTCCCTTGAGCATGGACTGGACATCTGCTGCCAGTGTAATGGCTGGCCCTAACTTCCAAATCCTGCCCCCTTCCATGCCTAGCATCAGAGATATGTCACAGTGTCAGTCTGTTAGTGCTTTTTTTCTCATTTCGTTGGCTATTTCTGGGCTCCTCAGGAAGCCTTCCATGTGCCCTGGATCGTTCAGAGATGGCCTTACAAAACATACCTAGGTTGCTTGGCTTTTTTTTTCCCCTTTTTTCTTCGGGATGAAGGTAAGAGGGAAGAAGAGACTGTCTCTGAATCAAATGTCAGAACTGGAGTAGTTGTAGAAAATAAAACCAGTGCCATTTGAGGCTATTCTCAACCATATTTATTTTAGCATGTTTACCTCATGCTTCTTGTATTACATAAACAATAGCATTTGTGTTTAGTAAATGATTTATTAAAGGAGCCTTGTTGGCGCAGTGTTTAAGCGCTCAGCTGCTAACCAAAGTGTCAGCAGCTCAAATCCACCAGCCGCTTCATGGGAGAAAGATGTGGCAGTTCGCCTCTGTAAAGATTACAACCTTGGAAACTCTATGAGGTAGTTCTACTCTGTCCTCTAGGGTCACTGTGTCTGAATTGACTCAACAGCAACGGGTTTTTTAAATGATTTATTATGAATATAATAAATAGTGGTGTATGTGTGTCCATCTTCCTTGAAACTTTAGATTTCTATTAGCGTAATAGTAAGTGATACCAGTGTAGGTGGTACGAGATGGACTGACACAGTGCCTGCAACAATGGGCTCAAACATTAACAGCGATTGTAAGGATGGCTCAGGACCGGGCAGGGTTTCATTCTGTTGTACATAGGTCACTATGAGTCAGACTCAACGGCACCTAACAGCAAGCGGTACCAATAAATTCCAGAAACTACTGCTGGAAAAGCTCCTGTGATACGTTGAATTTCAGACACATACATCCCATTCCTTTTGCTTCAAGATAGCTACGGAGACACAGATTTATTTTTAACCTTCCTCCTCCTAGGTTGAAGAGCCCTGGTGGCACAGCGGTTTAAGTGCTAAGCTGTTAACTGAAAGGTCGGCTGTTTGAACCCACCAGCCACTCCTTGGGAGAAAGATGGAGCAGTCTGCTTCCGTAAAGATTTACAGCCCTGGAAACCCTATGGGGTCGCTATGTATCAGAATTGACTCAGTGATGGTGGGTTTGGTTAAGAACAGGTTAAGAACTAGGTTGAGAACAGAAAGATTACGTGTGAAATAAACAGATGAAAGGAATTAATGAGGAGAAGTCAAGAGTTCTGTCTCTCTTTTAACACCCATAAATCCAATCTCTTGACTTTCCCTGCTCTAGTTCAGTTTTAGAATAAACCAAGCAGGACTAGAGGAATTAGTAAGGTTAAGTAAAGAAATGGTGGTACATTTGGAGCTTTACTGTGGAGAAGAATGCTGGAATAAAAGGAAAGGAGTATCGGGACAGAGAGGAGAGATGAGATCATTGGATGAAGAAATCACATCCTCTTTATTGTTAGCACGAATCTGTTGGCGTTTGGCTCTATGCTAGGTGTTAGGCAAGGCAAATTATACCGAATCCCTGAACCTGGCCATTTACAAAGCGTGTCTTAGAAATGGAATTACAGCTCACAAATTCTAGAGATCGTATTGTATAAGGAACAGGGTAGTTCGGGCAGTGGTGGTAGTGGTGGTGGTGATTTTCTTGGTTTTGGCTTTGTCATTGTTTCCTCCCAGATGGACATGTTCATTATTCATGAGCAGGTAGCATACCTCAAGTTCTGTGGACAAGAAAGATTGGGAGCACTTGGCCTTCCCCACAGGCTGCCTGGGGCTAGGAAGTGACACCAGACTCATCCCAAATGTCTAGGAGCAAGTCTCTGTTTTCTTGGAGGAGGAGAGGTAGGAAGAGCCTGGACAAGAGAGGAACCCTGAAAAGGAAGTGAGATTTTAAATCATGTGTGCTGTGTTTTGGGTCGTTCATCTCCAGGGTACAAAGAAGAGTAAGGAAAACTGAAACTCTGCTGTGCTCACGAGTAGAAGCCACTTTTTAAACTAGTGCCTTTTTTCAGACCTGAAGTTTATTTTATTTCTGCCAGTTTGTACAAGTCCTGTTTCTTTACATTCCTGGCCTGACTCTCCCAGGGCCTTCTGTTGATGGGTCCTGTGCCTCGGGGTTTACAGTGGTCGACAGCATCTTTGTTTTGTCAGCAGCTGACATTTTACTTGGAGACGTCAGTCCTCTTTGTCAGTTACTTTTGCTCAGCTTCCATACCTTTATTTCACTCACTCACTCCCAGTGCTTATTTTTATTTTTTATACTTTGATTCATCTCCCCGGCATTCTCATTTAGAGTTTGATAAGTTGTGGTCATATAGATGTGTGTACATTTATAAATTCATGTTTTGCCACATACTAAAATGTGTTTCGCATTTGGCATATGTGCATGAGATGCTAGATCACCATGGAGGAGGACGAGGAGGACATCCTTGCGATAGTGAGTATAAGGTCCTGTCCCCATCAGATGAATTAACATTAATTCACAACACTCAAATATATAAGACACGCCCGGAACATGACTGAGGTACAGAGATTTCTGTTGCATATTATGCTTAGCCTGGAAAGGGTTGAGTGAACTCTGAGATACTTTCAAGGGTTTGTGTCACAGGCATGATTAGCTCCAGAGGACAGAAGTAAGGGCAGACTGGCTTATTGCATGCAAATGTAAATGAGAAACTGAGCTAGAACTAATTCTAGCTCAAGGTTCCTTGTTCTAGGATTCTCCAGGCCCCTTGGAAGACTTAGATTTTGGTTTGTAAGACCTTGTCCTTGTCCATTTCCCTAAGTTCACTTAGGTGAGACCCTAGTCCGCATCATTGACCTCAGCAAAAGTCACCAAAGCAAATGTGGCTTGAGGTGAAGAAGGGAGACCTTGGGTTATGAACGGCGGGTCATTTGATTCCCTGCAGAGAACCTGATCAGGTCACTGCATCCACCTCCCTTTGATGACCCTCTTCTATAAACAGGAATAGGAATTCTTGCTACCCTTTCATCAGGCATCTTAGACTCACTGAATGAAAAGCACTATAAAAAGGCGACGCAGCCCTAATAATAACAGATACGATAGTGATAGCTATTTTGGGCAAGAGCAGCTTTGTGCCGCTCTTGATCTCCATCGATGTCTGCCATTCTTGCCCTGCTGTTACCTTTCAGACTTCCTATTCTTAGAATCATTCGTGAGCCTTGGGCCCGGGGGATTGCAGCCCCCAGGGCTGGAATGCCTAGCTTGAGTGGAATGCAGACTGTCTGGCAGGGTGGAGGTTAAATAAAGTTTGCCTTGGCAGCCCCCTCTGCTCCTGGATGGGGACAAGTAACTCAGGCGTAGGAGTGACGGCATGAGCTGCCACGTGTTGTGGTACTAAAGGGAGTCCTTGCATGACTGGAAGTGGTTGACCAGGTGTTCCACCCATGGCCAACACAACCATGCTATCTCTACCATGTGCATACTAACGAAGCCTTGGCAACCTTGAACCTCATGACTGTGTCACTCTGAAAAAAATGCAGGGACAAATAAAGAATAAATAACATTGAAACTCAGGGATCTTCAAGCCAGGACCTCCCGATTTGGTGCCTCTGCTCCCTCCGAGTTATTGACTCATTTCTGAAAGTAAGACAAAAGGGGAAAATGCCATTGTAATAAGAACAGTCGCCAGTCAATCAGCAAACAGAAGACATGGTTCCTACTCCTGAGGCGCTTATAATTTGGTTAGAAAAGTGACGCTGCAAACACATGAGAAAACAGTTAATATTACAAAGTAAAATACTAGTTCTCATCGGTGCTGCAGGAGTTCTGAGGGGCTGGAGAGCGCCTCAAGCTGGAATGGTCAGGAAGGACTTCACGGAGGAGGTTGGTTTAAACAGGTCTTGCCTGAAGGGCAGGCTTCAGCTTGATGAAGATGAGGGGCCTTGCCAGCGAGAGGACAGCTGGGAGCAAAGGGAAGATGTTGGAAAGCCTCAGCACAGGGCGTGGGGACTTGAAGACAGCCAGATGTGGTATGAGTGGTGCGGGAGGGGGATTTGTGTACAGTTGCCAACCTTAACTGTAAAGGCTGTGCATACAGGCTACAGAGGAGGTTATAACAGGAAAGGTTTAGGTGCAGCCTCACCCACAGACAAGGGCTGAACTAGAGGCCCTTTTAGTGTTCTGTGCTGTAAAACAAGGTGGTTCCTAGTGGGCACTCAGTGAGTAACATTATTATTATCACTACATAATCTTCAAATTCTGTGCACCTAAATTCTTGATTGACTTGGCTTCAGTGATGGTTTTTGCTAACTTTGCTGTCTCCTGTCCTGATGGTTCACATGGCTCATGCCTTGCCGTGCCCTTTCCTTCAGGTTTACCTGAGCTGCTTCTCTCTCCCCACAGATGGCTGGAGGTACAGGTCGCTAATCTGACATGTCCACAGCACTGGGTGCAGTACCTCCGGCTTCTCCAGGAGTCCATCTGGCCTGGGGGACTCTTGCCTGAGTCACCGCGGCCTGTAAGGACCCAAGAGCAGAAGGTGGCTGCTGAGAAACAGGCGTTGCAGAGCTTGATGGGAGTCCTGCCAGGTAATTGAACCACTGAGATTGCGTACACTAACACCTGTTCCCTTCCATCCTGCTTTACCACCCTTACCCTGCACCCTTCCCCATTTTTAAAAGGGCCTTGAATGGGGCCCCGACTGAAAGCCTGTTGACCCACCATTTCTTGGGCTAATAGGAGAATGATCCGGGGTGAGATTCTTATACCCTTCAGTCAGGTGATGCTGAAGCAGTGAAAGGGATCCCTATGGCCAGACCCTAAATACTAGAGGTGAATCCTGCAGATATTGGGTAGATAACTTTTGAGAGGGTTGGGGCAGTTCTCAGAGCCATTCCCATCAGATGAAGACTTCGGGTTCTATGCCAACAGTGACATTTTGGGACCAGGGAAGAAAATGGTAGGTCCCGCAGAAGCTGAGGCTTGGTAAATTGGGGCCACTGAGTAAAGTACACAGTCTTTAGCAATAGGTAAACACAGCCTGGAGAGGTTTTATTTCTTTGCTTTGTGTTGTTTTTAGCAGGCAGGGGAGGCAGTTGTGGCTGTGGTGACCAGGGAGCAGTAGTGAACTCAGCCTGGACAATCAATTTTAAATTTCTTCTTTCAGTTTTCACTCTTACTAACTTCTGTTCTCAGAAGAAGTAGGAGCATTATAGTGACAGGTTACAAAAGTATTTTTTGATGCTCATTCTTTCTTGGACATTGAACTTAAGAAGAATACTTTTCTTAATTTTTCCCTGTTTTATGGAGATTGTGGTTGGCTATGTTGTTCAGAGGTATGCCAGAAATACCCGATTTGTGTAAAGTTGGCAGATATCCTGGGGTGGGAAATGGGGATATCTCAGATATCCCTAAGGAGACTAAGGAGATCGTCTGCTTAGAATCTAAGACTTAGATAGTAACACTAAAATCCCATCTGTTCTTCTTCATTAGATATTGTAGTAGAAATCCTTGGAGTGAACAAATGCCGGCTGAGCTGGGGTCTAGTCTTAGAGTCACTGCAGCAGCCCCTCATCAACAGGTAGGCTAAAAAAGGTGTCTACAACATCAGCATAGCAAAAACCATCTCAGATCTCGGGTGTCCAAGGTTTCTAATCGAAAAGGCCACATTCAGAGGAGTGGGATGGTCGCCTTTACTTACCCTGGGCCCTGACTGCAGTCTGATGCCTAGTCTATACTCACTAAGTAAAATCCATGCTGCCAGCCTTCTGACAGGTTGTCACGAGGTAGTTGGCTACTGTTGGACCAGCGGTTGTTTCTATTTGGAGGAGCTCAATGCAGGCCCTCACATGAGTTACTGAAAATGCCCTGATATCCTCTGGGGTTGTTTGGTGCACTTAGGATTCTTTTCAGCATCTGCCAGCTCCTGTGAACACTGCACGAGCATACTCTGGCCTTGTGTATCACAGGCTTGTGATGATTTTTCCCATAGGTTTGTGGCCTCACTAGCAAATCCATAACTAGTGTTGTGATAAAACATTGTCTTTGGTTAATATGAGGTAGACAAGATAATGAGGTTGCAATCTGATAAAGGGACCCCGAAAGGCTGAGTGAAGGCTAGAATAATCCACGAGAGGTAGATATTCTCTGGTACTTTGGGAGCGAATGCTTCTGGAAAATACTGACTACTCTTGCACTCCTCTCTCAAACCCTCTCCTAAAGTAGACTGCAGCCCTCCAGGGCCCTGGGTTTTGCCTCATTGCCTGTAAGTAACCTGCAGTCTATAGTGATTGATTATGAGAAACTGCAGTAGTCAGAATTTGTGAAAATCCCTAGTAACCTGATTTCCTCTTTTGAGAGGTTTTCCCTCACAGTTCTTCAGCAGTGCTGATATGCTAATGTGACCCTGTGAGTCGGAAACAGAATTTTCTACAATCTACTCTCAAGTACTGTTTCTGGTGTTGTAACCTTTGGTAATTCAGCAAATGTTTATTTCATGGCAGGGGCTTCATCAACTGCTTGCAGGTTGGGGTCTGCTAAGGATATCAGTAATGGGTGAGGGAGGGAAGGGAAAAGTAAATGTCATAAACAGGATCTGGTGTCTCTTGACTGAGCCAGTCCCTCCTCTAAGTTGTTTTGTCCGTTTGTTTCAGGCATTTGATTTACTGCCTTTGGGACATTATCCTGGAATTCTTGGATCTCAGAGCCTCAGTTGAGGAGTCTACCACAGCCACCTCTGCCTCGGATACTCCAGGCAGCCCCAAGAGGATGGGTGTCTCCCCTCAACTATAGGCCATGCACTTCTCAAAGGTCAGGAAAGGAGAGTTGTCTAGCCCCCCAGGGACCAGTCAGGAAGCCCATGCCCCTGGGACTAGGCTAGGTCAGAAGGCCTAGGGTCGCAGCGGCACAGCTCTCCCCCGGTTCTCCTCCATTTGTAGCAGGGGACAGGCAGGATATGTGGACCAATACATGCATACCCATTTCCATATCTTTTCTGTGGTGTTCGGATTGTTGCTGGTGGGTAGATCCTGAATCCTTAGGAGAAGGAAGCTGTGAGGAAGAGGAATCAGCCCCTGTTTGCCTCTCCCTTCACCCTCCTCCATAAAATTGTTGTTTGCCTATAGCCTGGCCCCATGTACACACAAGATCTAGATAGAAGAGGAGGAAACTGTAGCCAGATTTTCTTTGAGGAAAAGACAGTCTTCTGAGCCCTCTGTTCGCAGCAGGACACTGAAATGCACTCAGGCCCACTGTTGAAGGCCAGATCTCCGGGTCCTACCTGGTTTCCCAACAATTCCAGGAGAAGCGGTGGGGGGGTGGGGGGACAGATTTCTCAAGGGACTTCTCACTTGTTGGCTGTTTTCCAACACATCAGCCTATGGAAGATGTCATGAAGGTTGGCTACCTAGTAGGTACACTTTCTTGTCCTGAAGCCTTCAAATCAGACTGCCCAGGCTTCTGGTAAACCCACCCACCCTTCACACCCTTGCTGAAGGGAGTGGCACCACAGATTTTGTTTATTTTCTTCCTTTGAGCAGTTGAGATTTTGCCTTTATGACCTTCTCTCTATCTTCTGGCAACAAAATTGCATGGCAAGTTGCATAGTCAACCTCCACCCTTCCACAAAGAGAAGAAACACTTGTTCCACAAGTGAGAATGCCCAAAGAGTAGGAGGACCTGGGGGACTGAGGTGGTCTCTGTTCACAAGTCCCTGACAGGAACTCTGTACTCTGAACAAATAACGCTAGCAAACGTGCAGGGGATTAGTTAACCACGAAAAGCTTTTTGCGCCCTGTTTCTTAAGGATCTAGTTAACCTTCAGAGTCAGTGATGAAGCCAAAGGTGCTGGGTCAGGCTGCACTGTCTATTAGAAAGATCGAATAATTAGGAGGAATTGTTGGTAGAAAAGGAGGCAGAAAGAAAGTCACAAGGGAAGTGCTACAAATTAAAGCATGCAGATCGCTGGCAAAAGAGGTTTAAAGTTACCACAGGGAGACCTTTGCTGTCCCCTCAGCCTCCAGCTTCAGCCCTGCCTGTCTGCACCCTGCATCACTGAATTGTGAAACTCTCCCACTTGGAGAAGGGTCTTGGAGGAACACTAATGAGAATGGGAACTGGCAGGAATAAGAGGCAAGGTCTCTTAACTCTGAAGTAGGTGATAAGCACATAATTAAACTGGTTTGTAGAAGCGATTTGTGATGTCTTTTTATGCTTATTTTTCCTCTCTCGTGGCTGTTAACCACAAAATGTGTTCCTGTGGAACTGGGGTGCTTTAGGTGTGTTATTGAGGAACCCTGGTGGTGCAGTGGTTAAGCGCCTGGCTGCTAACCGAAAGGTTGACAGTTCAAACCCACCAACCACTCTGTAAAGATTTACAGCCTTAGAAATCTTATGGGAAAGTTCCACTCTGTCCTATAGTGTTGCTATGAGTCAGAATCAACTGGAGAACAATGGGTAGGTAGGTGTGTTATTATTGCCTAAAGGCAAGGAGATCAATGAGATAATGTCCCATGGCCCCTTCCAGCCTTAAGAGCTGATTATACAGTGATTGTATGGCTCTGAAGTATCTCCAAACATCTCCCACCCTAGACTTCCACCGGAGGGAAGAGCTTGGTATTTCTGCCTTTGGTGAATGCTTCCAGGGCATGAGATTGCAGGGAGTTCAGCCTGACTTACTAGAGTGATCCTTTTGTCTGTCAGCTGGGGCTGACCTGCTATATGGCTTAGGGTGGTGGCCAGCCCTGTTTTCTGCTGCCATTCTCTCCCCATACTTTACCCTTACACGTACTCTGGTACCAGTTCTGACTCAGATGTTACACCATATCAGTTAGTAACCTAACATACCATAAACTCCCTGTGGCTATAAATTCTAAGGAATCTTTTGACTCTTTCAGCCCACAGTAAACTTCCTTGTGTTTCATGTTATATAAGAGACCCCATCTCTACTCCACCTGCCCCCAAATGATAAGCTGTCCTCAGACCCTCCTTCTACCCAGGAGGGAAACGATGGATATCATCAAGGAAACAATCAAGACACATCTGGCTTTGAAAAACAACCTGCCAGGTTTGGGTGGCAGGTTCAGACAACAGGGGAAATCAGCATTTGGGAAAGATGCCGTAGGTATCAGGAAAAGATAACTCCCAGCTGAGAGAGAGAAAACGCAAAGAAGAATTGGACCTGCACTAACCCAGAACGTCACTGAGTCTTCTTTTGCCCTACCCAGCCTATTTGTTTCCAAGTTTCACTCTGCATTTACTCATAGCACCCAAAAATGGTTGTTAAGTCCTGGGTGGAATAAAAATACGTGTAAACATGATCCTTGGCTATGTGAGTTAAGATGCTTTGGACTGAAACTTAAACTACTAGGAAGTTTTATTTTCTTTCCTAAAAACAGTACATAGGTAGGTGAGCCCAGGGGTTGATTGATGATTCAGCAACTCTTTGATCTCATAAAAGGCCCACATTCTTCCCATCTTTCTGCTCTGCCATTCAAAACATGTTAGCTCAGCCCTCAGACTTACCTGCCTTCATGGTTCCAGGCATCACATCCAGACATAACAACATCCATGAAAGAACAGGGGCATCTCTTCCATCTTTTCTTTTAAAGAATAAAGAAACCATTTCCTTTTCTCTTGACTTACTGGCTAGAGCTGCCCACCCCTAAGCCAATCAACTGGCATTGAATGGCATTAACATGATTGGCTTGCAATAGTACTTACTCCTGAGGAAAGGTCACCCTTCATGAAGGTTCATTACCTGAAAAAATAAGTGGATGTTATCAAGGAAGGAGCGGAGTATGGGTGTGGATAGACAGTGTCTGCCATAGGGTCATTCTGCCAGCATTCAGCAAATCCGCACTGGTGCTCTAAAAGCATTAAGTACCAACTGAGGGTAGCAGTTCACTTACATCAACTTATTTAACCCGTACATCAACCCTGTAAGGTAGGGCCTATTATACATCCCCACTTTATAGATGGGGCACACGAGGCATGGACAGGTGGTAACTTGCCCACAGTCACTTGCAAGGAAGTGGCAGAGCTTAGTGTCAGGCTACCTCCCAGATTATATGCATAACCACTACTAAACTGCCTTTCTATCTTGCAAAGTAAAATAAGACCAGGTTCTTGCTTTTAAGGAGTCCATAGCCTAGTATAGTCCCTGGGTGGTACAAATGATTAATGGGCTTGGCTGCTAACCCAAAGGTTGGAGGTTGGAGTCCACCCAGAGGCACCTCAGAAGAAAGGCCTGATGATCTACTTCCAAAAAATCAGCCATTGAAAACCCTGTGGAGCACAGTTCTACTCTGACCCACTTGGGGTCGCCATGAGTCAGAATCGACTCAATGGCAACTGGTTTACTGGTATAGCCTAGTATAGGAGTTGGCAAGCTTTTTCTGTAAAGGACCAGATGGTAAATATTTTAGGCTTCATGGTCACACAGTCTTTGTTGCAACTCCTCAACCCTTCACTGCAGCGTGAAAGCAGCCATAGACAATATGCAAACAAATGCGCATGACTGTGTCCAATAAAATGTTATTTACGCAAACAGGCAGCAGGCAAGATTTGGCCCATAGTTTGTTGACCCCTCGCCTAAAGGGTTAGAACAGTGCTTCTCAAACTTTAATGTACATGTGAATCATCTGGGATCTTGTTAAAATGCACATTTTGATTTAGTTGGTCTAGGGTGCATTTTTAACAGAATCCATATGTATGCAAGGATGATGGAGTTTTTCCACCACACTTTAAGTGGCAGGAAGTTAGAACACAAACAGTTCCAACTGGATGTGATTAATGCACTACCTAATACATAGGAAGGGCACTGAATTGAGACGGGGGGACCATGGAAAGCTCTGAGGTAGTCATATCTGAAAGAGTAATAAGAATTAGTCATTGAGAGCATGGAGGAAGGCATCCAGACAGATGGAGCGATGTGTGCAAAGACTGGAGTGTGCAAGTGGCCCAGCAAAGTGGGAGCATACAAGGAAGGAAGTGAGGAAAGATGAGGCTGGAAAGCTACGTTGAGTCAGATCAGAGTGGGACCTGCTTGACATGGCATGCTAAGGAACCTGGAATCATTTTCCCGTTACACATGGGGAACCGTTGAAGAATCGTCCTGAGGAGTATTTTTTCATCAAGATTGACAATTCTTACTTCAATTTCTTCAGGGCTATTTCCACTATTTCTTATATATGAGAAGGCTTTAGGGGTCTGTAGAGTACTATGAACTTTAAGTGAGAGAACAGATTTAAATCCTAGCTTTGCCACTTAATCACCATGAGAATGTGTACAGGTGACTTAGCTTCACTGAGGCCTAATTTTCTCTCTTCATAAAAGGGACAGGCACCCACATTACAAAAACATTGTAAGAATTGAATGAGATACATGAGCCAGCTGTATGGAGTCCAAATGCTGTGCTACAAACATGTCAACCCTGCTCCTCTGCTGTTTGGCGGGAGCCTTGCCTCAGGAACCCCATTCAGTCAAGCTGTTACCTGGCAAGCCTCGGGTTCCACAGCCCGTCATCCCTGCTGTTTATCCAGCCTTCTTTGCACTCAGGGGGCAAGATGTGTTTTCGCAGGACGAGGGAAGGCAGGCTGGCCCACCCTGCTGAATACAAGTGGGAATGGGAACCAGGGAAGAAGTAGAAATTTGGGAGGAAGGGAAACCTAGATGTTCTTATAGTTCAAGGCCCAACTAGGCAAGCTCTGCCATAACCTGGCACCTCTTTCCTTCCTTTCCATGGAGGGTGCCAGCAATCAAAGAGCAATGGTCGCTTATGCTGCCTTTGTGCACAAGAGAATGACACCGTTGATGGGCAGATTGCAGCCAGTGGATCCGCATCACGTCTTTGGTGGTGAGGATGGGAGATGCTGCTCCACACAAGACAAGAGTTCTTTCTTGAGAGAGCCAGTGAGGGTAGACATTGCCCAAGCATTACTACCACATCCTAAGACTTGTCTATCATTTCTTATTATACAATGACAACACTGGCTATTAAAAAAAAAAAAAAGATATAAACCCAGAACACTGTGTCAAGCAAGAAACAAGCAAAAATTATCAGAACCTTCACCACTGTGGTTGAGACAATATGGGCACCAGCAGTCACCTTGGCAGGCACACCATGCTATCCTCAGCCTTGCTGAGCCCCCTTGCTGCCTCCCTATCATTTCTCACCTGTCTGCTTTCTTGGAAAGGGAACAACATGTCATGGATCCAGAGAACCTTTCCAGCTCCCATGTCTACTCACCAGCATGACAAAGTCTGGTTTCCCCGCGTCCCTGTATTCCTCAAACCTTGACTACAACTGCTGCTGTGTAAGTCAGCAGCGCCTTGTTTCTGGGGTCTGGAGGGATGGGAGGAAAAACAAAGAAAGCAACAGTGTCAGATACAGATTTAAAATTAGAAAACATTTCTTTAAGTGGTAACTAGCTGCTCTTTTTAACCCAAAGCAGATCTCACTGCCACCAGTCAGTGTTTGTTTAGGAAATGCGAAGTAATTTTAATATTAAAGTGTTACAGTGATTAAGAAGGCAAGATAAATAATCAACTCTTTGACTCCCCCTCCCTTTATGTTCCGTGTCACTGCTGCACCCTGCTATTATAAGCAGTGGAGAGTTGGCTATAATTACTTCCAGAAACTTGGATTAATCCATGGGGGTAAAGAGCACACTAGGTAAACACAAAAGTCTGTGGTTGCAGAAAAAGTGCTAACGTGTCTTCAGAATCCATGACTTGTCTGCGTTTGGTTGAACTGGATTTGGTGACGTGTAAGCCCAGGTAATCATCCCTTTTGCCTGTGCCCTTTGTTGAACAATCATCCTGCCCCTGTAGCCACCAAGAAGATTAATTGTGATTTAGCAAAATGAC